GATACATAACTACCCTAGGAAAGAGAAGACAGTCACTACTCAGTAATGTTGTTAAAGACTCACTGGTGGTATCCATATGGTCTTATTGACTACTTGACTGGTTTCATTTACTGCTTGGGTAATAGGAGCTGCCATGATATGAGGACCAAAGAAATACTGAGATTGTACAGAATAAAGTAATCTTAATAACACAGCAACTCACTTGATTATTAAATATGTATGATTCATCAGCTTCTGGATACTCAAAATACAGAGCTCTTAAAAGACTAAGGCCTAATAATGATTATAATAAATTAAATAAATAAAACAGTGAATGAATAGCAAAAAGGAAATACCTGTATCATGTGCCTCTCTAGCGTAAGTGTATATATAAGGTACCATACTACCTCTCAGTACCATAAATTCATGCATGATCTTATAATTAGCCTATTAAGAGGATGATAATACATTATTACATCATATTTATAGACTTACCAATGGGTAGACCCATATCCTACGATCATCTAATGCACTCTTACTGCTATGAATACGAAATATTGGAGAGAACGCCCCCCACTGTATCCACCTAAATAATGATAATACATTGATCATCTTAAAATCATTATTTTTTTCATTGCCTGGTATATAATTCAGCTGGAGGTGGTTTAAGGTGACCTCCAATATCATGACTCCAATACCCAAAGAGTACATTAGAGGCTCTTAGGGTGAAAGAAACTTGATAATTGAGAGAACTCCAGCTCTGATGCACAATACTTAAAAGTACAGGGTGCTAAAAATGGACTCACAGGATTTACGTTTCCAGAAAAGCCAATTTGATATCTGTGGTTACCAAGACCACCCCAAGAATGCAACAGGAAAGGTCTTTTGACAGGTTCCTATAAACTTATAAAATTATATTTGTCAAGACTAACATACATCTATTGGGCCCCATTGGTAAGGATTGGTAAAGAATAGATAATTGATCCAAAAGGTAGGATTAAGGTTTGGCATATTAATGCCAGTTTTTGGTCCTTCTTCACCTAGTGTTAAAATTAAGATCATAATATAAAATATTTCAACTATATCTAGTACCTTGTCGCCAGTCCAACCACCAGAAGTCAATGCCCATGTCTTGCAATGGCTTCAGAGTTATCTTTAAAAAATTATTGACAAACTATGCAAAGATAAATGAGAATAATTTTAACAAAATAAATCATATAACAGACTAACCTTGGGATCAACAGGCTTCCAAGGAACATACAAAGCCTATACCAATTAATAATAATAGTCTTGGTTTGGTACATAATTAAAAAATAATAATTAATTCATTTTTACCGAAGCATTCAATCCCATAGCCTCTACCATCTCGTTAAATGTATCCTCCCACTTTTGTATGCCACTAGCAAAATGAAGATTAAGGGTATTCTTTAGATTATTAGCCTTGCACCTATACAAACAATATTATAATGATGTCTGAGTTACTACTGAAGCAACTTTAAAAATTCACAAAAAATCTAATTTGGATTGAAACTTTCTACACAACGTAAGAGCATGTATATGCATTACAATATTATAAAGATAAAAAATTCTCACCTAGTCATTTTTGTGAAATTTACAATGTACTATAAGTATAGGACTTTGGCCCAATTTTTGAGTACTTTAAAATTCCAATTTTAATCAAATTCAGTTCAAACTTTCTATGCAACACAAGTACATGTATACACATCAGAAAATGTAATTAAAATTCATCGAAGTCATTTTTGATAAAATACTGAGCACAAGTATAAGCTCTTGCTGTGGAGTAGAGCTAGAATGCAAAAAATGCATTCCTCTTACCAAGCTAAAAAACCTTGTGGATTAGGAAACAAGTGATCATTCCAAGTAAACCCAGTCAGGTCCGTGTATATTTCCGCCAATCCAAATTTCTCATTTTGAAAGAAAGAAAATTGCATTTTGTCAAGTAATTTTAATTTTTAGAAATTTGAATTTTGAACGTCACGACCGTAAATCCTATTTTACTGAAATCACTAAATTTTACGAATTAGGATTTAGGATTTTGCCCTTTTGATTGCAACTCCTATTATCTAGCATTTGTGATTGCGGCATTGCGATTGCAATTCCTGTTTCTACAGGAGAAAATGATTTCCAAAGTCCAATTTTTGAGAAATAAAGGTGAAAAAGATCATGTGTAAAACGTATTCCAAACGAAGCTTACTTTAAAATTTAGTTTAGTGCGATAACTTGGTTTTTTTTTTTTAGAAATTATTAGGATTGAAACATTGCAATCTTAATTCCTAGTTTTTACAAGTGTGACTTGCTTTCTATAAACCAATTCAGAACGACAATCAAGCCTAAGCAAATAAAATGGCTAAAATCTAGTGAAGTGGGCGGTCCTGTGGACACACCCCTCACCACTCCCCTACCATGGCGAATCTAGAACTTCACTCGACAGGATTGAGAAGGATAGATGGACACATCCTCAGCTTTGCTCTCATTTTCAGACCTTCTATTCAGCACAGAAAGGGTTCAGTATTTGATCAATACAGAGGACTTTTAAGATCTTGACGATGCTGTATTGGAAGCAACATGTACCGGTAACTTTGTGTTAGTAGTTATATGATGACATATGCCATTAGTAGAGAAATTTCTAAATCTACCGTATAGCCAGAAAATTTGGCAGCCTAAAACTTTGGTGGTTTGCATCAAAACTGCCTGAATATTATATTGGCGCATTTTAATTTGGCAGTTTACTATCTTGTCTTTTCTTTAAGCACTCTCAGCTCTTCTTGAAGCTGCTCCTTGGTAGTCCTTGGCCACAGTCTTGACTCTGTGACTGAAATAGTGAGAAATACTGCCATTTTTTAGTATAATGGAACCCGCCCATTAGTGGTGGACGATATATCAAAATTTACGATATTTAAGCGATATAATGCAGTATCAATACTTATCAATATTCAAAAAATTGAAGAAAATATAGATAACAAACCACGCCCACAAATGGTTACATAACCTTAATAATGGTTAATTAACTATAACAGTAATATCTCGAAAATTACTAAACTGCATTCTTTTTGAAAGCTGATGAACTAGCTGAAGTATATCAAGCCATGCAAACAAGGTTTATATAATACTTTTTATAATAATAATAATTATTGTCTCAGAAATAACTTTATTTAGCCGTTTTAGTGATATTAAAGTTAATGGATGTGGCTTAATAACTTCTTGATAAAAAATATTGATATCTCCATTTTAAAGCAATATTGTATCATATTGTATCATATCAAAATTTTCAATATCGCCCAGCACTACCGCCCATAATAGTTGGAATTATTATTGACGGTTATAATGTTGGCAGTTTTATTTTGATCCACCAATCCGCCAAATTTTCCGGCTATACAGTATATTATACACATTAGTTTATTATAAAAAGTACTGATATATAATACAATTTTGACAAATCAATTACAATTTAAACCTTAACTTGTTAACTCAACCTTTGGTCTGGTAAAAGTGCGTTAAAGTACTTCAAAAGTAAGTGAAAGTACTTTGATATTTTTTTAATACTGAGTACAAGTGAAAGTACCAACTTAAAAACTTGACAATGGTGCACTTAAGCTTGCTTAAGTATGTACAAGTGTCCAAGTACTCATCCCATATCTGATGCATATATTGATGGTTGTTGATTGTATAAATTTAACCCCTCTATAGGTTTCATTTTATTTTTGGAAAAGATGATTGGTCTTAATTACTTTAAAGAAAAGGTGTTGGTGACGTATGACGTATGCTTCAAAGAAACAGAAACAAAGTCCTTAAATAGATGCTGATTTGTTTTACTTGGTAAGTTTTTCCAACAAAAGGATCTAACAGTCTATGTAACTCTCTTATCATAGGGCACCTTTTTTGAGGGCTGTAAATTATTATCTTTATTATTATCTTTGTTGATAGGATATTGCTTTATGCATGAAGGAAGTAACTCTCACAATTTTCTCTGTTCATGGATACCAAGACACAGGCTGCCTCAAAATTTAAATCTGAGTTTAGCAATTTCATTGCCATACAAACTAATGTACATTTCATTTTTATTTTTGTGTCAAATCATTCATGTGTATCCATAGTCAAAGGCAGCGCTTGCCCTCTTGTCACTGCTCTTTGTAATTTATTCTTTTTTCTGCACATCATTCAGTTTATCATTATTAATTTCTGTTATTATTATTTTGCAATTGTATACACTTTATTGAAAAAGTTAAGGAAACTATAACAAGCTACATATGGGTATTATCATCATCATGTGGTTAGTAAATTACTCTGGTTAGAGAAAGTAATTCTTGTTGGCTGGTCCGTATTTTACTGTAAATGCATGTGTTGACAAGTGAATCTATTCACTTTGAATCATTTCACGAATAATTAAATAAATGAACAATTTACATCTTCAAAATAGTTCACACAATGCAATACAATACAATGAGTTTAATTTAATCTAAATTGATTGGAGGCAGTTCTTCATCATCTCTTTCATCCTCATTCTGTATGGACTTTCTAACATCATTGAGAAAGGCATCTAATCCACGCAACAACATGGTCTCATTGTATCCTCTGGAGGCATTACACGAGGGACAACTCTTGGTGAGTGCTTCTTTACCATTGTACCATTGATTCACGCACTTCTCGCAACCTAAAATAGACTGGCAGCATTTAGTTATTATAACAGGTGGTTTAACGGGCACAATATGGCAGATTTTGCATTGAAAAGTATCTCGCATGATTCGGCGTAGTCCAAGGGGAATGACGGAATTTTCAGTGAGTTCCATCATTCCATTTATGCTCCTCTTTATGACAGACAACTCACTGACAACAATATCGAGCCTATCATCCTTCCTGGCTTTCTTTTTTGGGGCCTCAAAATCATCTTCAGAATCACTTAAAACAATTTTTGAGGATTTGGAATAGTCACCACCTATATCATTCTTTAATACTGCATAGATCTTTCTCCTGGGACATTTCCAAAAACTCATACCTGTAAGAAAAAATCAAAATGTCTCAATGATGATCAAAAGGAATGTCATCATCTCTTTTTAAGTTTCCTAGCTTGTGCAATTTATAATACATTAATAACAATACTATTATGCTTAAAAATAATCTGGTAGTTAGTCTCGTTAGCCAGACCATTGACCTGCTGTTAATTCACCACTACAATTAATTGGCTGGTCAATGATCTGCATGGCTCTTGAGACTATGTAACTGGGAGTCATGTCAAAGAATGTCAGATATTTAATACCACTATAATAGAACTGGCAGCTAACCTAGTGTTGATGAGTCATCTGTAAGCTCTATTGCATCATTGGTCACCAATGTGTACTGCTGTCCCCATCGTTTGTGAATGACTCCTAGCACGTAAGTCAGATTAGCTGTAGATTCCGTCAATTCTACAAAGGTTTGACTAATGCTAACAAACTCAGGTTTTCGTCGAAAGGCCTTTACAATATTAGCCTTGACAATCTTTACGCTAAAAGTTGGCAGTCGCTTTGGAGCTACAACTGAGTGAAATCCTGATGGTGGTGTGTGAGAAGGGCCTGGTAAACTCGGTGTACTAGAGACAGACATAGACCGGGCTGTGTTTGAAGTACGCGATGGGAGAGGGGAAGAAAGAAGTGGTCCCTTCACTGTTAGCACGGAATACTGAGGCACATCAGAAAGATCAAATGTGCCATCCTGCCTAGGTAAATATGCCAAATCAGTGACTTCATCTTTTAACCACGCTTCTGCTGGATTAACCTAAAATATGAAATAGTGAAGTGAGGAGTGTGGGGACTTGGGAAACTACTTCACTACTTCATAGACTCGCATGTGTGCATGCTGTGCCTACTGCCATTATGCAATTGCTAGAAATTGCTGGTGTCGACTATACACTTACCTGAAATATTCTTCTTAAACTATCGACAGTTATTTGTCCCAATAGAAGCTCTTGCACTTTGCCATTCATTTCTAAGCTCACTTTCGCCATACCGACACCCGAGTATCTCAAGTTTCAAGTCTTCCACTGAGCAATTCTAAAGCTTCTTGCTGTACTAAACTCTATGAGGCAGTATACTTTATAGATCTATATATGGCACTACCTAATATAGCATTAAAATGGAGCCACAACCTGAAGACCACTCTGATTGGTCAGTTGATCCTCTTTGAAAGTTAATTGTCAAAAATATCACTTTAGCAAAATTTGGAATTCACTTTTGGAAAAACTATAGACTATCACTTAGACTGTCCATGGGATGTCACATGCACAATTGTCCAGAATAAAAAATTGTTGAAACTCATTACTTTCACCAAATGTTTTTAATCTGATTGGCATGACGGCAGAGTCCTTAGCAGTGTCCATTTTTTCACAATAAAAATTTAATGACAAATATTACAATTATTGAAGTCTATGACTGACAATGATAAGTACACAAAAACAATCATGTATACGTAACTATTTAAATTTAACAATCGCTCAAAGAATCATTGACATAAACATTAAAAAAGGAAATTATTAATTAAAGCAAAATGAATGATTATAGGCAACAAATTATAATAATAAAGAATAACTAAATACTAATCCAAGGTACTTGCCAGTTGCTTACTCACATCAGTAAAATAAAGTAGTCCATCACGAAAAAAACTGTAGTCCCCATTGACAATCCTATGAAAAAAAGGTCCAAAATCTGAATATTGTTCCAAAAATCTGGATTCTCGCTGGGCAAAGAGTTCTGAATTTCCTTCTAAGGGATCATAGCCAAATGAACTGAACTCAGTGATGTGACCACCATGAGACCGAAACTGCTGCAAAGCAACTTGAGGATCAGGAACTAGTAAGGGATCAATTGCGACAGTTTGGTTATTCTTTACCATTTGTGCATTAGGAATTCCCTTACCTAAAACAAGTAAATTATTTTACAAGTATTTGTTAAACGACTATTTACAACAATTGCAACTCCACCTATTGCACTATATAGATTACTATGTAATCTACATAACAATTGCATGTACTATTACTATTACAGTGCATGTACTGGACCTGCACTGCAATTTTAATTTGAGACAAATTATAATTAAAATTACATAGAACTGCAATAATTTAAAAAAAATAAAAATTGATTAAAAATTGATTAATCACAGTACAGGATATTTCAGGTCAGTGTGGTATGCAATACTCAAAAAACCAAGGTATTTGATTTGTTTATGTGAATAAGGTGTGCGTGTAAATATCTGGAATGGAGTGTTCATTCCATGCATTCATGGCAAGATAGTGCCAACATGTGCAACTCTAATAGTAAACCAAGAGACGCAAAACTTTACATGCATGCAGATCATATCAATGTCTCCGTTTTCCTCTAGCTGAATCAAAGCTGTCTTAATAGGATAATTGACTCGTCCATTAATTTCGACCCAAATCCTTTCAATGCAATGATTCTAAAAAAATTTTCATATGTAACTTTGTCTATGTTAGTCAATCATAATTGAAAGACATTCGTGTACCTGTTTTGAAGTGGTTTGTATATGAGGAGAACGCAATGGATTCCGGCGTAAATGAGCTAGTTGTTCCTGTACAAATAGCATAAGTACCCACTCCTTCCCATGGTCCACTCTAACCTGATCCCAAAGTCCATAGTCTAATATTATTGGCCTGCCAGGTAATCATGAATATTATTTAAAGTGATACAAATTATTTACCTATAAAGGTTAGCATAAATTTCAATGTTGTTTTTAATGGGCATGCTGAGAAAAGAAACAATTTTTCCACTGAAGCCATCTATTGCACACACATGAGTGACGCCATACATAATTAGTTTTTCATTTTGGTCCACATGGAGCTTGTGCCCAAAATAGTCAGCTCGATATGGGACAGGATTCATCTGCCTTGCAGTAGCTGTTCTACGTGCCTGGTGATAGCTGGGGTTCTGACGGGATAGTGATTTGCCAACCCTCGTTTCACTCACTTTAAGACCTTCTGAAGCTAGGTGGCCTGTCATGGTTTTCCGGCCATATGTTGGGCCAACCTATAACATAATGTTGTGATCTATAATAATTATTATGGGAGAAACTGAAAACAATATTATTAATCAAGAAGATAGTCTTGCCCCGCCCCTCCGCAAGTAGAAAAATGGGCGGGGCAAGACTGTCAAGAAGACCAATAATTAATTAGTTCAATCTATGCATGATAGCCATAACCTTCTGTATGCAATTATCAGTAGAACAACAAATGACATAATGCATGACACACTTTGATTTCAATAAAAACAAAATTAAAGCATTCAACAGGGATGCAATTCATCCTCAGCCAAAACAGTTGTATGATTATCAAAATCACTTCAGATGATAATATCAAAATAATTATCCGTACAGATAATATCAAAGTATATCTACTTAAATAATATACAAGTATATATAACCATAGATAATAGAGTAAATGAAAGGGATTGGAAATGGAAGCATGGGTGTAGCATAACCTCCATTCATCTGTATTGCTGCTAGGTCAACAGAGGCTCATTGTCATTTTTTGTCACAATTTACCATTCATTGTCTTTCTTTTAGGAACAATATCTCGTGAACAAGTGTTCCTACGCAAGTGAAATTAAAGCATCAAGAAGCCTAATGTTTCCTCTTAATAATACTGTTTTCTATTGTACAGATAATTTTACCATGTTAATGTTATGGGACTTTTAAAACCATAAAATGTACTTTTTGTCATTATAATCCCCTTTTTGAAAACATGCTTATGTAAAATACAAGATCTTTACAATCATATGAATCATATGGAATGTACAAACTCATGCTTCATGATGCTAGTATCTAGCATCATGAAGCATGAGTTTGTTACAACAGAAAAAAGGCCAAAATGAAAAAATTTGTTGTACCTATAACTGGTTGGAAAATAGCGTTGTAGAAGTAAAAATCTTGCTGCAGGTAATCCTAAGCTTTCTATATGGTATGGTAGGTATATACACGTAATAAGTACATGACCTCTTGGATCTCCATAAATGTCCTTCAAAATCCTTGCAGTATAGCCTCGCAAATGGAGGAGATGAATAGTCAACCGGCATTGGGCCAGTGACCACTGACCAATAGCAACATCAACCAGCCTATGCCCCCGTTTCCAATCCCTTACGTTTACTCTAATATCTATAATATAATAGAATATAGCCTGACCCCACCCCTTCACTGAAACCCTTCCTCCTCCAGCGACGGGGCGGGGCCAGACTATATTTAGTACTAGTTACAGCCAGCTGGAATATAGTGAGCAACAGCTAGTTTCATGAGTCATGATGCCACTAAGGGGTGTGATGACACTAAGCAAAAGCCAATAATCATATAATTCATCATTTTTTTCACAGCTGCTATATAGTCAGACGTAGGCCCACCTGACTAGCTGCTATAACATATAGAACACAAAATTCATATTCAGTCATAATTTTGTCGTAAAATCGCCAATACACTGCCAGCAATGAAGTAAAATTATACTTGTCTGTGTGTGACATGTACATTAATCAACCAAAATTTACTTTATTAATTGCCTCAGATACGGCAACATCAAGGTCAACATCACTGATCCTGGAAGTCCTTTTAATCCCTTCCTTGCTACACAGCCTCTGAATAGATCTTACACTAAAACCAGACTCTGAAGGATACAAGGAGTGAAAGTGTTCACTTAGTTGGTTGTGTGTCCAGTTCTCTTTTTCCACCTTCTCCCTGATAAAATCAACGAAATGCTGAAGCTTTGCCATGATGATAGCGTGCAATCGCTGCAATCCACTCGAGCAGCGCAGTACGGTCAGCCACAGTTGGGGTGTGGTCATGGGCGTGGTCTACTGGTTGCAAACACGCCTACTCCATAGACAGTCTAGTCTAGTATCAGTCTAGTCGCCAGTCTAATATTTATGGGGCCTTTCACTGCTTGTTTGTTTCGGAGTTTTTCTTTACTAATTTAGATCTTGGACTTGGATAAATAGAAATTAGGATTAAAATGTTCAAATCCTAAATCCTAATAATTATTTTTTTTACCAAACTAAGAACGGTAGATCTAGTCTCTATCTTTAAATCTTTGAATAGCATCGATTTTATATTCTCAAAATCCAGGCTTTGATATTACCAAAATGTCAAATTGTGATCGAAATCCCAATTCCCAAATCCAAAAATTTAAATTTCACAATCATGCGATAAAATAGGATTTACGGTCGTGACGTTCAAAATTCAAATTTCTGAAAATTAAAATTACGTGACAAAATGCAATTTTCTTTCTTTCAAAATGAGAAATTTGGATTGGCGGAAATATACACGGACCCAGTCAGTCCTTTCCTTTCTCCAGCCTATAATTACATAATTAAAGAGCAGTTAGTTTGATCAGTTATAACATCTTACAGGATCAATTATGTCGTCTTTATAAAATGTTTTATGCCAGTCCATGTCAAGAACAAGAACATCCAATGGGATATTTCTACTATGATATCCATTGACCAATTCCTATACAATGTACAAGAATCATTTTGTTAAAAAGTGTATAATAGAGTATTTTAACCATTTCTCCTATATCACTGTATGCCCAGTATCGAGAGTAGTACATTCCAAATGCATATCTAGGGGGCATGGGTATTCTTCCAGCAACCAGTGCAAAGTCATATACTGCTCCTTTATACTCTAACAATAATAATAACAATAATAATAATAATAATAATAATAATAATAATAATAATAATAATAAATAAATAAATAAATAAATAACACTAACCATGGCCGTGACCGAAGAAGTATAGATCCTGACGTGACTGTTTGGAATAATAACAGTTTGGGGGTTTTCCAGAGTGAGACCAACAACAGCCATGCCCTATACAATCCTTTTGCGATATTGAGTGAAAACCACATGAACGAACCTATTAGAAAAAATTATTATTATTTTAATAGAACATAGCACATAGTGCCTGGTCTTACCGAAGCATTGTTGATATCAGAGCAAAAGTCATTAGTAGAGTTACTAATGTTAGGGCTAACAGCCCAAGGCCATTCAGAATCATCGAATTGAGGATATCCAGTATCATCAACCACAACATAACCATCTCTTGATATTAAACTATAACCGCATTACTTCAATAGTGTATACTCTACTGTGCTTCTAACTCACCCCAAAGTACAATGACTATCACTTTTAGAGTCGGCCTTATAACAATCTAAAAGATCTTTATCACCATTGTTACCGTCCAATGTCTGCAAAGAAACAACATTCCAATTAATGACATCAAAATTAAGCTATAAAGACTCACTCGTACTGTTCCCCCTAGATTACCACCAAGTGAATCTTCAGTGTAAGGCTGCGGTGACCACAAATTACTTTTGCCATTAAATTGATACTCGACGATTAAGTTTTCTTTGTTGAATGACTCACCTGATGAAAAGTATGACACCTAAGATAATGCATAACTATTATGTAAAGTCAGTGCAAACCCAACACAATAATGCTAGTAGATACTAGATAGACCCACCTTCAGATAAGAAGTCTCTATAATTTGCCATTTTCCTTCATCATATGAATAGTGATCAAATTTTGGAGTAGGTAAGTATCTGTTGACGAAGGTCAGTGTGGCAGAGTCTACAGCTTGACCCCATTCCATGCGAATGAGACGTGGAGTTAATACAGTGAATCTAGCCTGGCCCACTGTAACAACTGAATCAGGATTAGGAAGTGGATTATAAGAAGGATCAGCATGGACCACCATCCAACTAGAAAAGGACCAAAGAAGCAGAGGGAGCAGCATCATGATTGTTTTTCACTTTATGATCACATGACTTAAGAAATCTTTTTATTCAATATTCATCATACAAATGTATTAAATTAAAGTTAAAAATGTATTAGATAGATAGACTAAAATAGTAATTATTCAGCAGTATTGTAAATTATTATTAATAGTATTCATGTACTGCTATTTTTTCCAGCACAAGGCTCACAAAGAATGTCATTTAGACTTGTCTCATAGAATGACTGCTTCCCAATTGGAATGCCACAGTTTGTGCACTTGAAACAGTTGAGATGGTATATTTTCTTTTTGTACATTGTATGGCGAGATGTGACGGGCTCCTTGCAAGCTCCACACACCTTAGCAAACTTTACTACACACGATTCACAGTAAAACTTCCCATGCTTCTCAGATATCTTCCCAGCATCAGTTGATAGTGCTTTATTGCAGTCTGCACATTTAAAACATTCGAGATGGAAGACATTGAAGCTAAACTGAACTCCTTTCCCAGTGATTGGCTTGTAGCAGACGTTGCACTTCTTGCTGGTCTTTTGTTTAAAACAATCACCGCAGACAAGGCTACCAGCATAATTCTGAAACCCCTTGTCAATTAGGCTAATTTTGCACGAGGAGCAACTGAAACACTTGACATGCCAGGCATGAGCTTCATATTTCATGTGCTTCTCTGTGAGGAGGATTCCCTCCTTACATGAAGAACACTGAGCAATTGGTTGCAAGCATTCATCACAGAGAAAGTCGCCTTCAGAAAAGTAATATTTCCTGTCAAAAAGGCTCTCTCTGCATCTCTTGCAGTTGAAGCAGTCTTCATGAAGCTCTATTCCATTCTTGGTAATCTTTGATTGTCCTATCTTAATGGGAAGAAGGCAGCGACGACAATCAACAGCTGTTTTATCATAGCATGTCTGGCAAACAAAAGAGCCATCCTTTCTCCCTGTATACTTTTGACCCTGGAGTGGGGTATCACACAGCTGGCAGCAAAAGTGCTCTTTGTGCCACTTTTTGTCCTCTGCTATTGTAAAAGTATCGGCAACAATCAACTATAAAATTAATTAAAAATAATTAAAAATTATGACATCTAGGATGAATCATACCGTACCTCATCACATCCATGGCAGCGTGGTATTTTAAGTTCAGCATAATGTCTCCCACAGTAAAGGCTGTCATCCTTGTCATTGAGGAAGTAGATCAGATCAACTAGCACTTCATTGCATGTTGTGCATGTGAAGCATAATGGGTGCCATGCCTTTGAGGGTGAGCGAGCTGCTGCAATGTACACACTTCCAGTATCAATCCTTTTATCACACTGAGTGCAAACCTAATACATTGAAGTCATAGCTCATTAATTTAGTAATAATAATTATTATTATTTTGCCTTTTTTCCTGTTGCTATGTTAATGCCTCCTACACCGCAGGCACGAGCTTTACATTTATCGGCTATTTTGATGAGCCTCTTCTTTTCAATGTCACTCATATCATGGCATAAAGTAGGGTCCAAGTCATGCGGTGGTAGTTGCTCTAGGTACAGCTGGTTTCTTTTCTTCTCTCCTTCGCTACCTCGTAACGGAACTCGGTCTTTTGGCAGGCATTCCATGTAGCGCTTGACCTGTTCTCATCATGTGAATTATTATTACATAAAATACTTGAAGGCTTACCAGGTCCACACTGATCCCACTTGGAAACCAGGAATAGCTGTTGAGGACCTTTTCATCTGCAACATCTTGACTATACCTCCTGTCTGACATTCTTGAGCTCCTCGGGCTAACGGTTGCTTGATGAGTTTCACGTGGGCATTGACAATTGATGCATACTTTCCTGGAAAGGAGAAAGGAAAAGGCAATGCAGCTGTATACACTAATTCTCAATGGACCAAGCAAGTATGAAAACATTGCTATGATACATAATTAGATCATACAGCCTTCAGCTACTTAAAAGAATTCAAATTAAACATTATCGGTCAACTACCATGCATAAAATGCAAAATGCTATATAATGCATAATTATTTTTACCTCCAGACATGTAAAAGTAATCCCTCACATCCTCCCTTACATCTTAAGCAAGGAGCACCAACTTCAACCTTAGGAACAGCAGCAGTCAATCTCTGCTAAGATTAATAATACAAAGCAAAAGCTCCTCCTATACAAGGCTGCAAGGCTTACCGGTTTAGCAGGACCAGGGGATGAAGAAGATGACGAAGAGCGAGTTCTTTCTAACACTGGCGAGTCCTTGGACATTTTGTTTGCTTCCTAGCCGCTCAAATGAATCTGCATTCAAGCACTATGGCACGCCCACTTGTTGCAACAAAATTAAATTCATAAAGACAGAGGGTCAAATTCTTAACATTCCTTTAAAAATATAAAATTATTATTACAATTCATACAACACAGCATTAATTATGACGACTCTTTTAAGCCATATTTCATCAGCAGTGCACTCGTCTGCATCAAAGCACTAGTAGTAAGGACAAAATAAGAGTTATGCTGCATAAAGTATCTCTTCTTACCATCCTGGTCTTATGATTTTATAATAACCTTCCACTGATACATCAACAACAGTAGATCCATCCCTTGAAGCACTGTTATTACCGATTCTTCCTCCGTCTACAACAGCATCAAGTTGAGGCCAGAGTGACTGAAACTCCTTTTAAAAAACACATCAATGTCAATAAGCATTGTAATACATTCACATAATCATAATGGTAACAATACTTGACTAACTTCAATAGCCAAAGTGCTCTTCTCATTGCTGACATTAGCACTAGTGAGAGCTAATGGCTTGTCAAAGTGCTGAGCCAGTTCAGTGATGAAATGACTATGAGGGATACGGACACCAACGGTCTCTATGGCAGGATTCAGTGACGGATTAAGAGACTCCCTCCTTCTCATGACGAGAGTCACAGGGCCAGGTAGCAATTCATCCAACAGGTCAGTGCTCAGTGTATTAATGGCCCACCTGTCAATATGAAAAGCCTCATTAACAACACTTTTGGGAAGTTAATGCCCTCATTCAGACAACACTATTACTCCCACATGTAATCAAAGGCGGAACCCGATATGCTATGATGGTAAAGCGATACCCTTGGCCCACAATAATAACAATGTCATGAAAGAGTTGGTCTATATTAGGAGCACATTTTACAGTCACATCATACAAGTATACACAAAACTATGTACTATCAAAATAAGCAATTTTAAGCATGCCAAAGACCACTTTAAAAATTTGCAACCAATTTTGCAAAAACAAAAATTTCATTAAATTAAAATAACCGCCCCCTCACTTATCAATATCGTTAATCCTTCCCACACATATAGCCAATGGACGCATCTTTGTTCTTCCTTTTATTGAGTATATCCTTTCAATAGCTCCTGTATCAAGTGCTGATGCTGTCAGACCATATATTGTATCAGTGGGAACAGCCAAAACTCCTCCTCTCTCTAAAAGTCTTGCACATTCCCATACTGCATCCAATCCATCACTTGCCTTGAGTATGTTTGCAGCTGTATCTCTTCCTCGGGTTGTAACGAGGCTCATATTTCTCAAAAACTTTGCACAATAGTGTAATGAATCAGCAATGACCCTGTTTAAGAGCAATGACATCTAATTGTGGTGCAATGACAATTACACGTGGGTAGCCACGCCTTTTTAAAATTAGAGTCTAATTTAAAATATCTACATAAACTTAATTTTAACTTTATAAATATTAACTCTTTTGATGCTACTCACTCAGCTAGTACTATATAGTAGCTACTGGCGGTATATAGCAAGTCAGGGATTATGGAAGATGCCTGGTCGATTTTTATCATTTTTTAAATTCTCTTCTCAACCATGAGGCTGAGCTCTGTTTGTGGTGAGTTTTAGTTTATTTACTCAAATTTATTGTGTTGAAAGTTGAAACAACAGAAAATAGTGTAGATCTCTGATCTATGTAGATGTAGATCTATCTAATTGAGTGGGCGTGGCCAAAATATTTTTAATTAAAAAAGTTCTGTGGAGTAACTGCATGAAACTTGACCTACTTACCCTCACGTGATCAGTTAACAAATCATGTGATAGAAAGTTGGATCAAATTTCACTTTAGTTATGCGACTATTTTAAAGGGACACGTTCATGGAAATAGATGCACATGTCACTGTAGAGGAAGTAAACATTAAATTGGACATGCAACAGACTTTTAATTATTAGTTATAACACGTGTTTAGACATGCATAGAGAGTAGAGACAAAGCAATTAGGCCTAGAACCAGGAGTAGGCATCTCTAGAACACTTCTTTCAACCAGTATTAGCTCTTTTGCCACCCAAAGACACTCTTTTTGGCCAGGAACATTACGAGTAGCCACTCGAGTAGCCATTTTACCTTCATTTTTTATGGGCATGGTCACACGTTATGAATAGTTATTAATACTTCACGTCATTAATGATGTCACCTTGAAGAACAGGCCACTTTTTAAAGATGACGTGCTTCCATGAACGTGTCCCTTTAATAATGACATTATTTCAAATTATTTGTTAATTGTTATAGGTTCGAAAATAGTCTTTCCTTACTTTTCAACTTTGAATTTTCATGTCAATGGACAGAGTTCTGATACATCATGTGAGCATAAAGATGGTGTCACTATCAGGCAGTTGGATACTGCTACTATGGTGTCTGTGATATCGCTTGTGCATGAAACTGATAAAGCAGTTCACCTTTATTGCGTAAACAATGTTTCTAAGCAGACTGTACTTGATTACACTTTAAAACCGGGTTAGTACTGTGCTAGCTATGACATTAAACTCTATTTAGTTAAAATTATCCTCAATTTCTTAGCTCTGACCTAAGTCTTGATAATAATAGTATAGTTCATGAGCTCAGAGCCTGCATGTGACTAAGAGAACTACTAGTCGTCCGTTTATTTGTTTATGTATTATCATGGTATTATCACTCCTCTTTTTATTTAAATTATATTAAATGAACACATTTGTAACTTAGTGTGCACACACGAACTCATGAAAGTGAGTCTCTAAATGTTTTAATTAGTCAATGTGTCATTTACATGTATGTTTATAATCTGGTAGGTGTGTTATCTGATGTGAATAATTTGACACTTGATTTCACTCTCAATGACACCCTGCAGATGTACTGGTCTCAGCCTTCCAATGTGTGTCAATGTGATAGAAACGAATCATGCGATATTACTTATAAAGTCTCTTTTGATGAGGATCCCAATGGATTAGAGCATGTGGCGCATGGTCCTTATTTTGAACTCCCTCGTGTCAGCAAGTTCGATGCACTGTCTGTCGAGGTAATTGTACCTCAAAATCAAACAATTAGATGTGTACCTGCTACTACTACCTTGAGCACCTCCAATGATACTACTCGTAGTGCTCCTCAAAACAAGAAATTGTTTCTATTCATAGCCATGCTTTTGGTGGTAGCCTGTAGTCCATTCTGTTACAAGATTTGGATATGTTATATAAAGGCCTGCTTGTTAGTCTGCTATAGGCTGTACCATTTTATAATGAAGAAGAGAAATGGTAAATAAAGTATATTCTAAATTAATACAAATATTTTGTTTATTTTGAATACAATAGCAAAGCCTCTACTTCCGATATTTGATACACCTGCTCATCCATGTGCCTTCATTGTTGTAACCCGCCCATGAATGACACAACTTCATGGTAAGTAAATCAAAATTGGGAATGAATTTATAACCATTTTTGCAAAATACCATTATTGAAATCGGTTTATTATAGAATCTTACTTTTGCTATAGATTATTTAAAGAAGATGTAATACAGTGCTTTGCAGGTTGCTTGACCCAGTTTCTGCTCACGTGACATGTATTACTAGTATGGTGAGAGTCACGTGATTAACGAGTTTGCAGGGTCAAGTAACCTGCAAAGCCACTGTATTACAGATGACATGCTAAAGTGAATTGTTTAATTTTTTGCAATTTTTATATTAATACTTTTTGTTAATAATAACTAAGTCACACCCACAAGTAGCGTTGCTAGGCAACAACATACTAATCCTGCATGCAAGCAGCATTATTCTTACCAAAAAATGGAGTCCTCTAGTAGTAGCGGCTCATACAACAGCAATGGGAGCAACTATATCAAGATAGTGGACTTCCCCGTGGATGAAGTGACGTTCATTGATACAGGACAAGGAGAAGAGACGGTCACTTATCACGTCCAGAACTGCAGTGCCTCTTCAAAGAGGCTGAGGGCAGCTCTGAAGAAAGGAAGCAGTGAAGTATGAGCCTTTATCTCCTCGTATTAGTTAGCTAGTATTTGTATCTGTACAGGCTTTTAGTTTATTAGCTGGTAAGGAAGAGAGGCTTTTAGCTCCTGGTCTAAAGTTAGCTGTCACTATCAAGTTCACACCAAAAGGGAAGCCAGGTTCATCTTACGACGGAGACCTCAACTTGTTTGCTGATGACTATGTTGCCATGAGCATCCCAATAGTTGGGTAAGAAGCATTAAATCGCAATCAATAATCCATGTGCATCTACACTTGTGTATTGTGTACATTTATTACTATAAGATCTAATGCTAGATCTACTGTACATTTTTAATGTACTTTTATTGGAAGTAATTTTCTTTATTTCCACTTGCAGGCATCCCCCATATCCATTGCTTACTTTCACTCCGGATTGTATTGATTTTGGTTCTCAAGTCTGTGCTCATCAATCAGTCTCTCGTTCAATCACTCTATTCAATACTGGGAGGGCCCCTGGCTCCTTCTCCGTTAGCACTCGTCACTTACCATCATACCTCACCATTACTCCTCTAGAGGGAGCAATCTCACCAGGCTCACAGGAATCCATTAATGTATAAGTCCTCTTACTATTGTTAAATATACTTTACTCTCTCTGCATTGAATTTTAGGTTGACTTGCTTTGTAGAAAAGTTGGCATAATGGAAGAGAACATTGAGTAAGCTGTACATACATGAATGCAGTGATAACTTGCTCTATTTTTAGGATACAATTGGAGTCTGATACTATCAGTATACCAGTCACTGCTAGCATTGTACAGCCTCAGTTGGAGTTACTTGACAGCGAGAGTCTTGCTCCAACGTCTTCGCTTCATTTAGGAACTACTTATTATGGGACTATAAAGCATAAATCAATTGTCATTTATAACAACAGCCCATCTCCAGTTGATTATGTGGCAGCAATTAGCAAGGAGAGTCCACCTTATGGAGAGGTACTGTAGATTCTTCTATAGTACATTAGTTGTATGTGTATATGACTCTATTCTTATAGGGTGTGGATATGAAGGGTACGCTAGCTATGGCATGTACAAAAGGAGGTCTTTATCAACACAATTGGAGAGAGCAGAGTGATGTACCAATCTCTGAGAGACTCTTCAATGTAACTATACAATTGCATATGTGTACATGTACCTATCATGATGGTTTGTTGCTCTCTCTCTCTTCCAGTTATCTCCTAATGAAGGAACACTCAGGCCATATCAAACTGAAAGGATTGACGTTACATTCTATCCTATGCTTGATCAGTCAGAGAAAGGCTGGGAGCATCATCAAGGGCTGGCATGTAGGAGAGACTATGCACTATATGTACACATTACTCCAGTGGGTCTAACTAAGCAAGGATATGAACAAAATGGTATGTTAAAATTGTGCAGCATACATGTACATGTACATGAAAAGAAATTTTGGCTAAGAACATTTTTGGTGTCAAGTCCAAATTTTAATGCCAGTAACTCAAATATTTGTGATCACAATGAGCTCAAACTTTCCACATAACATTAATGTATTGTCTGTCATCAATTAATACTCTATCTCTTATTTATCCATATAGTTGTTGAGTTAGGATTAACAGCCACTGCATTACCAATTCAGATCTCACTAGAGCCATCTGAGATACAGTTTGGCAAGTGTTTAGAAGGAGCACTAAACAGTCAGAAAATGATGATAAGGAATGACTCTGACAGCCTACCACTAACATACAGACTATCAGTCCCTGCCCATTATAAAATAGATCACAATAAAGGCCACATACTACCAGAAAAGGAGCAAAGTGTAGTAGTTATATTTCAACCTAAGCAACTTGGGGATTTAAATGGCTACCTCTTACTGGAGATAATGGGAGAGCATATTGACGGGGTAGCATCAGTATTTGCTGTGTATAAGGTTCCATTGATGGGGTCTTGCATTATTGATAATCAGAGAGGGAAACGAGAGAGTAAGACCCAAAAACTTATACTAGATGATTTGGCAGCTAGCATTAGGCCTCATGACAGGAGCGTTAAAATAAAGTAAGCATATACATGTACTGTACATGTTGCACATTGTACATGTACACATGTGCAGTGATTTTATTGCAATGTTTTATTTAGGAGCCCTTTTACTAAAGTCAATCGTCACACTTACGTTGATCCTGATTTTGCATACACTGACAGCGAGATGGCTGATATCAAGGCTCACCAGCAGTCATACAGAGACTACATTAATGATAGTAGAAAAGAGAGACTAGCAAGAGAAAAGGAAAGGTAACAGATGACATTTAATGTCAGTATAGTACCCATCAGTTTATTATATAGGAAACTTGGTAACACTGAATACATTACTAGCACTGATATTGGTATAGAGCCTGGTGCAGGGATAAAGCCTCCTTCAATTGCTCTGAGGGACCAGTTCACTGATTATAATGAAACTAGAACTGATAGCAATAGCAACAGCAGCACACAGTCACCTCTCCCTCCTCTCAATGAGGAAACAATACTGGAGCAATGTCAAATGAGACTATCACCACAACAGCTCTCCAATATCAAACTAGGTGAGGAGTCCTGTGTCATTATTATTATTACATTGTGTACTGTACATGCTCATTGTAGAGCCCCAGTTGCTCAAGTTAGGTGTTGTTGTGAAGAATTTTCCTCTGGAGAAGACTCTGATACTTACTAATGAAAATTCACAGTGCATCAGACTGTGTTTAGAGGTAATACTTGACTTTTATTTTCTTGTAATTATGCTAGTTTTTTGTTATTTTAGAGTAAGTCTATTTTTATCAAGTTTGGTTCATCTTCTTCAAGTGAAGGCTCATGCTTTCTTGAGTGTGTTTTGACACCTTACTCACGTGTTAATTTTACTGTTACTTTTCAGTCTGACCAGCTTGGAGACTTTAATGAGTAAGGAATATTTGTATCAAGTAATAGAAAATATTATATTTTACTTATTATTAAGGAGCATCAAGTGTATCATTAACAATGATCACATTTACCACATCCCAGTCACCGTATCTGTCACTGATGCTTCGCTATCACTCTCACCCTCACACATTACACTATCATCACCTCCACTATCCACACTTAACTCACTATTGGAAGGACAGGTGACATTACACAATCCTCATCATGTTCCTACTGGATTCTCATGGGGCCTTGATGATCATGATGACTATGTTGCTGTTACTCATATGGAGGGTACTTATGTACACATGAACATCAACATGCTATATTAGCCCATGGTTTTTTTCAAAAAATGGCTCCAAAATCACCCCCAATTTTTACTACATTTTCTGATACATATTGCTGCCCTTATGCTATGTAGAAAGTTTGAGTTGATTCCGACTTCAATTTTTTGAATTATGGCCATTTTTTAAAATATGCCATTTTCAGAAAAATACCCAAGGCTATAGCCCATGGTTTTTTTCCAAAAAATGGCTCCAAAATCACCTCCAATTTTTACTACATTTTTTGATACATATTGCTGCCCTTATGCTATGTAGAAAATTTGAGTTGATTCCGACTTCAATTTTTTGAGTTATGGCCATTTTTTAAAATATGCCATTTTCTGAAAAATACCCAAGGCCCATGGTTTTTTTCCAAAAAATGGCTCCAAAATCGCCTCCAATTTTTATTACATTTTCTAATACATATTGATGTTTTTAGGCTATATAGAAAGTTTGAGCTGTTTCCAGCAAATAATTTTTGAGTTATGAGCATTTAAAAATTTTTACTAAGTACATGTACACATATAGTCATATATACATGTACATGTACAGTGCATTATTTACATTATTCCTGTAGGTGTAGTTCCTGCTCATAGTTCTCTTGTCTGTGCTATATTCTGTCAGGGTAATGTACCCAAGGAATGCACTCGCCTTTCTTTGACTCTTAACGTGGAGGGAGGAGAGAAGAAGAAGCTCAACTGCTCATTGAAAGTACACTATTACCAGTCTATTACCTTTGTTGTTATTTTGTTGCTATGCATGTACATGTGTACTTGTAGTATTGGAAATCTGATTGTAGCTTCAAAGAGACACGCCTCATCTTTAATCCTGCTCCACAATACCTACCAGTAAAGAAGACAGTCCATATAGTTAACAAAGGAACTAATCATGGCTACTTTGAAGTAAGAGAATCAATGAGTTCATTATAAATGCATAATAACAATAACAATTACATACTGAGATAGTAATGTACATGTATATGTACATGTTTGTAATTGACCTCTTGATCTTTGACCATTGGTAATAGATTAAGCTTTACTATACAGTGTATATTTGTAAGTAATTGTATTGGGCTCTTTGCTTGTGTAGGTTCTACCGTTTCAGCCCAGCACTGATTGTATCTCTGTCCAGCCAGAGAGGGGACATGTTCCTGCTGGTGATAGCGTCCAATTGACAGTACAACTCTGTTACTGGGAGGAGATGATATTTGAGTCAATATTGAAAGTGAGACTCCACGAGGGGAAGATGCTCTCAATGAGGATCAATGGAAGTGTTGAGGCACCTAAAGTCTTCATTAATCTTGTAAGCAGCTAGCACATGATAATGTACAGTACATGTATGATTGTACTAATGTATTACATGTACATGCACATGTACATACTGATTGTTTTTGTTATGTGTATTAGGATCAGTTTAATTTTGGTGTGGTCTATTGTGGTGTCAAACTCTCTCTACCCTTCACTATTCACAATATGGTAGGCATACATTGTACACTGCTTGTGTACATGTACATGTACATGTATATTTTTTATTGTAATGTTATACTAATAGGGACAAGCTCATACTGTGTTATCTATTGATTTAAGTTTTTATGAAGATTTCACTCTTATTCTACCCGATGATGATAATCCTTATAAAGGTAAAACACATGTACATGTGCAGTACATGTACATGTACACATTTAATATTAAAAAATTACTCAATTTTTCCATAGATACACAAGTAGACTTGTCATCATTTAAAGACTCATCTAATAAATATGAGCTGACCATACCTCCTTCAACTGCTGTCAAATGTGCAATGGATTTCACACCTAGAGATGTCAGTAATAAGTGCATGTACATACATGTATACAATGTACATGTACATGTATATTGTACTGTAGGTAGCTTCATATGACTTTATACTGCCTATACTTGTCAATGGACAGGATCCTGTACCACCTCCTTTGTCTCACTGGCCTCCTGGACGCACTCACAAATCACAAGTGGCTGTTGATAAGAAATGTAATCCATCAATCAATGCATGTAGCCTTCTCTTTTATATTCTTTATTTTTCTCTTTGTTTCTTTTTCTATTTCATCTCAGTACCCTCTTATAAGAATACTCCTAAGCGTAGGGTACTAGCAACAGCACTTGTTCCTCCATTGCAAGTATTACATAATAATATTGAGTTTCACATTGCACCTGAAATGAATATTGTCAGTAAACTCAGTGAGCAGGTAAAGCATTGCACATAATTGCCCTGCTATCGTACACCTCTCTCCCTCTCCTTTAAAAGGTTGTCTCATTGACTAATGTAAGTTCAGAGCCTCTTACCTGGGGCATTAAGGATAAGAATGAAAAGCGTTTGAGCGATGGAACTTTCAGGTTCATTCTCTTTTCAAAGAGCAGCGTGCCATTTGAGCTTCCTTTATGCACTAAAACTGATCCAATCCCTGGAGAGATTGGTCATCTTGCTCCAGGCCAGTCCTTCAAGTTTAAAGCCTTATTCAGTCCTGGTAATACTCCTAATATAGTAGCTATTTCCTATCTCTGATTGTATTGTCCCTATATGTACTGTAGGTCATCATGGTCATTTCTCATTGTCACTGCCAGTCTACATCAATGGTGATAGGTCACTGGCATACAGTACACTGGAGTTTACTGGTGACATGGTCTCTGGTAGACTCTCAGTCTCTCCTCCTCATGTGGCCATCCAGCCTGTACCACTGGGCGTCACTGTTGAAGCCCGATTCATTGTCACTTTGGAAAAATTTTATGGGTAAAGAAAAACTAAATTATCATGTAAACATGTATAAAAATGTACATTTAATAATACATGTACTGTACATCTAGATATGGATTATGCTTTATTAATGATTGTAGCAGAAATTATAATGTAGATACTTAAACATTAATTGTTACTGTGCAATTATTATTATTGTATTTATTATAACATATACTCTTGATTATAATAGTAAGGTTGAGTTGTCTGGATCAGCTCCCTCATCATTGCCTGATAATGTGAGTATGTCTGTCCAGTTGTCTGGCCCTATGAAAGAAGAGAATACCATACAGATCCCTTGTGTCCTTACCTTCTCTTCATCTCTACCAATATCTATAACTGATTGTGTCACTTTCACTGAGAAAAACACAAAAACTATGTTAGTTGTATTCCATGTGTGTACAAATCTAAGTAGAACTACATGTACATGTACATATACAAGTACATGTATGCATGCACATATGTACATGTATATATGTATTTTATTTTCTCTGTTTCTTCTCTTCTTCTCTTTTCTTTAGAAAATCAGTTCCATTCTCTGTAGCCGCTGACAACAGTTTGATGACAACCTACGAGTTCTTTTCCGAGAACTTAAGTTCAATTAACTTTGAGTCTTCCCCTCCGTCCTTTGTCCCGATCCTCCGTCTTCCCTCGTGGCCGTTCAAATCCTCTTCATGCTCCACCCTCTCCACCTGCAGTACCAACAGACCACCTCCTCCTCCTGGCATATATCCTAGTGCCACTAGCTCTGCAATGGAGTATGGTAATCTCTTCCTCTACCAGTCAAAGGTTGCTCTCTGTCGCTATGTCTCGTTGTTCGGTTGGTCTGATGGTATTAGACACGTTAAGGGACCCAATGGTCTAGTGGAATGTGTTGGAATACAAAGTATGGAATAATTATTTTCTTGCATTGTAATGTCAACTAATAATTACATGTACATGTACATGTATTAATTTTTTAGGTTATAGTTCAAATGTTAAGAAGAAATATGCGAAAGCTCTTACGTCATCCCGTGGCCCATTGCTTGACTTGATGCGTCATTTGTGCGGTCGCCTTCCTCCAGGGATACCATTGAACCCACCTCCTTGTAACACAAGGGCAGAAAGGGTTGACAGACACTTCAAGGAACTATCAGCCATACTGGCATTCCTTGAGTAAGGGAATGTACAGTAGTTTTACATTATACCAAGAGTGGATAATTATGATTATACTCATTTTAGCAAATTCTACTATTATGTATATGTACATGTACATGTATTTTAATTTGTTGTTGTTGTTGTATACTTATTATTGTTATGCTGTTCAGGGCTCAAGGTGCTTTGCTGTGGATAGTAGTCCCAGAGTCACTGATGGATTGGAATGATTTCTGCTACTGGAGGACCAGTCACCCAAACACTCACTCATTACTAGCCTGCTCAACTCATGAAGAATTTAACGAGTTCTCAGAGAAAGCTTGGACACACCTACTAGCCCAATTAATAAAGGTACTAACTGCATTGTAATGTACATGTACATGTATTATATGATATTTCCTTGATGTACATGTATGTGTACATGTGTATGTTTTTTTATAATGCTGTACATTGTAGGTTCTAGTGATTCCTAGACACTCATCTCCTTCAGCTAATCAGTTTAGACAAGCAAAGGAGAGCAATGTATACTCATCTCACGAGGTTATGCTATTGAACTGGATGAATCATCACTTTGAAAGGGAAGGACGGAAGCTGTATGGGAGCAGTAAGCACAAAATGCTACTATTAATAACTTAATTTTTTTAGATATTGTGTCACGTACAATACAAACGTTTGACGTTGATCTAATGGATTGTATTGTCATAGCCTGTTTGCTGGTAGCTTATGTACCATCACTGGTAGGAATAACTATGCATGTTGTAATCATCATTATTATTAACATTAATACTCTATCATTAGTTTGATACTGATCTTAATGGGCTTTATCCCGAGCCATTGACTCCTGAACAAGTCTCACATAATTCATTATTATTGGTACAAGCTATACAAAGGATTGGCATCAATTATGACATCCAGGTACACTCTACATTGACATTAGTACCACTACATACAGCTATACTGACTGATTGTATGATGTTTAATATTGATGTTTTTTTTTCTTGTTAGCTAATGTGTATCTTTTATTTCTTTAGGCCAGTGATTTCTCTGCTCCCAATCCAATGATGCTGATATTGTTTTGTAGCCATCTCTTTCACATTCTTCCTCATTATGTTCCATCTTCCTCCATTAAGCTACAGGGATCCCTTCACACTTGCATCACTAAACAAGTAAGTCCTTATAATTATTAATCCTATTATTCATTATTCTGTCTTTATAACAGATAACAGTAGAAAACACTAGCCACAGGGAGCTACTTTATCGCACTCTCATACTAGGGAATGCTAGTTCAACTGGATGCTTTACTGTCAAGGGAAAAGATGATTTTATATCTGTGAGTCTGCATGAGTACAGCTAGCAAACCATATGTACAGTGTATATGTACACACAACGTACATGTACATGTACCCGTACATGTATTTACATGTATGTCCTTGTCTTATTGTCTAGGTTCCTCCTAAAAGTTCAGTGTCAGTACCAGTATCATTCAAGGCTCAGTGTCTAACTGAGTGTGAAGGGACTTTACTATTGATACCAAAGGGAGGTGGAGGGAGACAAGGATACCCTCTCTCTTTCAAACTAATTGGACAAGTGAACACTGTACACCCCAAGGTACATATACATGTACATGTACATGTACATGTACATGTACATTATACATGTATTAATGTGCATTTATAATTCTTATCATTTAGAGTGTGCTAGTCCATGAAGTTCCACTCTATCAGGTTACTAGTCTATCAGTTCCTATTGCTATTCCTCATGTCACTGAGTCTATTCTCTTTCATGTAAAGCTAGTGGAAGGAGAGAAGCTCTCGGAAAAGAGAATGAAGCTCAAAGCAAACAAGTAATGAGCACTTTGTACATGTACTGTGTAAAACTATGATCATCATTAATGTATTCTCATTGTTTTATAGGATGGATGGTAAAGCTAAATCAACAGTCACAGAGACTATCATCTGCCCTTCATCACTGACCAATAGATCAACTGACTCCATCAAACTATTCCACACCAAACAGACAACAATCACAATAGGACCTTCACACAATCGACTGGAGCAGACAGAGCAAGAGAATAGGCCCAGGATTGAGTTAGAGTACATACCATTAAGGAAAGTCCCTAGAGATTGTGCTATCATATTGAGCAATGCACAATATGGAGACACTGTCTTTCTTGTCTCTACAACTGTCAGCCTACCATTAGCATCAATGACCCTACCACCATTCCTGTTACCGTCAACACTCTACGATAAGGACACAAGGACAGTGTACATAAGAGGGCCAGTAGGAGAGTCATTGAGTGAAGTCATTAACATACCCACTAGGAATGAGGACTTTGAGAGAGCAGTGTATAGACTAGGGGAATGGGACATACCCAAAGACGAGAGAGAGAGGCAACACCTGACAGGATCATTTGGCTATGCCTCACTCTATAATGCAATGAAGGCTCTTAATCTTGAGACTGCCATAAAGACACACAGGGACTTTTTGCCTCATGGAGCTGACGAGATCCACTTTGATATTTCGTGTGATAACTCTGATCACTTCACTGTACAGGGTGGAATCTCAATCCCAGTTTTTAGTAGGAAGACCTCTTCGGTCCTTCCTATCCAGTTTATCTGTCATAAAGACGGCTGCTATATGTGTCATGTTGTACTGACGTCACCTCATGACATTAGGGTCTTTCATATTGAAGTGATTGCCATTTCTAAGAAGGAAGAGCCAGAGCTGGAGTTTAAGATACCTGCCTTTCAGAAAATAACACAAAGAATTCCATTGGTAACTGAAACTTAATCATAATACTGTATTTTATTTATTTATTTATTATTATAGCCTAATCTAAGTACAGTGGATTGGCCTTTAAAAGCAACACTGACTGGCCAATGGTTTAATGGACCTTCTTCTTTGATCGTCAAAGCATCATCCACAGGATATTACCCTCTTAACTTTGAGCCACGACACGAGAAAACTGTTAAGGTAAAAAGAGAAATGAAAAGACTTTTGTACATTGTACACTGTATTGTTTTATAGTCATTGATAGTTCATGCACATGTATTTATTCTTTGTAGTGTCGGTTAGTTCTAGTGAATGAAAATGATATGAGTGAGCAGTCATTTCAATTGATTGGGATAGGAGAGAGACCACTAGCACAAGAGAACATTAACATGCACACAAGAGCCAAAGAAAGGCAAGCCAAAGAGAATATGCATGTACAGAGAATCAAGAAATACATGTACTGCTCATGTACTGTCATGTAGTACAGTAATTGCAAAAATGAATGTTGGTATTGTTTTATTTTCTTCTTGTAGGACAACAATGATTCTACATGTACCCAATACAAGTGATCGTACGACTCTGTATCGTGTTGAAACTGATATCGAGTTTATCACTGGTCCCTCTACAATATCAATAGTTGGTAATGATGTTGCTGATTATCCCATCATGATTGAGCCATTGGACAGAGGAAACTACACTGGAGCTATTGTCTTCTCTGTTGAGTCAAGGAGCGGTAGGATTAGGTGAATACACGTACATGTACACATCATGTACAAAATGTATCCGTTATGCATTTGTTACATTGCATAGTAAAGCCCTGAAAAGTATTATGTATAAGTATACATGTACATGTACTGTATAATACATCTACATGTACACTATAAAATAAATTTAAAGGGCATTGAGTGATTATGTACATGTACATGTACATGTAAAATAAATTCACAAATACATGTACCTGTACTAAAAATAATGTAAATTTTATATGTACATGTACATGTACTCTCTTGCTAAAACTAATGTGTTTATAAATTGTGTCATCATAGAGTCATTGATGGCTCACCGCTGGAGCACTTGTGGTATCAAGTTAATGTGATAGTTGATCCATCATATCCAGTGCATACTTATACACTGAGGGCTAACACTTTCAGTGAGAGTACACTCAGTGTTAAAATAAAGAATCCACTGCCTGAACCAGTTACACTACAAGTGAGTTCCAAATGATATACTACATGTACATGTACATATACATGTATGTAATGTAGAGTACATGCATAGGATTCTTTGTTAGCCATTGTTGGTGAAAGACCCTCTACATAGTCTTTGGCCAAATTTTAGGGCAACCAATTTTGATTGGAATCAATTCAAACTTTCTATGCAACATAAGTACATGTACTTGTACTTGCATGTATATGCATCAGAAAAAATTAATCATAAAAGTGGAGAATTTTCTATTTTTGGCAAAAGTTGGCTAACAACCCTGTACTATAGTACAGGGACTTTGACCCAATTTTGGTATTGTCAAGAAATCTGTGACAAGCAAAAACCCATTAGTTCCATTGTCACGGAATTTGTGACAAGCAAAAACCCATTAGTCCCATTGTCACAAAATCCGTGAAAAGCAAAAACCCATTAGTTCCATTGTCACGAAACCATTGTCATGAAATTTGTGACAAGCAAAAACTTATTAGAATTTTGATCAAAATCAGCTCCAGCTTTCTACACAACATAAGAACATGTATATGCATCAGAAAAAATTATTAAAATGGAGAATTCCCTCTTTTTTATTTTTGGCAAAATTTTCCAATGGCCCTGTACTACGCAAGGCTGCAAAAGTTGTGGCAGCCATTTTGAAGTGGGGTGAATCCTGTTTAGTAATGCTACTGTGTTACTAATAGTACAGGAACTTTGGTCCAATTTTGGAGCAACTTGAAAAATTCATAACAAATCCAGATTTGATCGGAATTGGCTCAAACTTTCTACACAACATTAGAACATGTATATGTATGTAAAAAATTATTAAAATGGAGAATTGTCTCCTTTTTATTTTTGGCAAAATTTGGCCAACGACCCTGTACTATAGTACAGGGGCTTTGGTCCAATTTTGGAGCAACTTGAAAAATTCATAAAAAATCCAGATTTGATCGGAATTGGCCCAAACTTTCTACACAACATTAGAACATGTATATGCATCAGAAAAAATTAATCATAAAAGTGGAGACTTATCTCCTTTTTATTTTTGGCCAAATTTGGTCAACGACCCTATACTATAATAGTACAGGGTCTTTTGCTGACTTTTAGAGTAATTTTTCTTAGCTGCTGCAAGTTCAATACTGACACATACATTTGTACATGTATACATTTGTTCATGGTCATGTGTGACTATTTTTGATAGGTTGCTATAGAAGGATCATCATATTTATCAGGCCCTAGTGAGATATTATTGTCTGGAGAGACTGAAGCCGATTATACTGTGACCTATGCTCCTCAGAGACTTGGAAAAGAGAAAGGAGAGATTATAGTGACAGGACTACCAGAAGGAGAGATGGCAATTGAGATTAACCTTGAAGCTACCGACCCTAAACCTGTTGAAATATCACCGCCTCAGTGTGAGCTGGGCAAGTAAGCAAAACCACAGACTATTTAATATACATGTAAATGTACATGTATCAAGAGCAATCATCTATTATTAATTACTTGTACAATTTACATATATCTCCTTTCATTTCATTTCTGTATAATTATGATTACATGTACATGTACATTTCTATTGTATCCTATTGATACACTATGTTATGTGTCTCTTTTCCTATTGCATTTTTAGATCTGCCTATACTGCACTAACATTGGACAATCCGTTGGATCATGAGGTCATGTTAGCTTATCTTCAAACAGAAACTCATTTTATTGTCATTGGGATTGACAATGGAACTGTAAGCCAGTCTACATAATCTATATGTCTTTTACTAGTTTAATTCTGTTTATTGTTACAACACAGTTCATACTACCACCAAATTCAAGCTCTGACTTATCTATTATGTTTAAACCAACTCAACTGGGATTTGGAAATCAAGCTTCACTTGTTTTCACTAGTGATGAAGTAAGAAAGAGAGAAAGATAAGAAATACACCATCATATACATGTATATACGTATTTTATTTCACTTTCTATTGTACATGTACGTGTACATTTGTAATTATGTCTTTGTTTAGTTTGGTCGTCAAGAGTTTCTTGTAAAAGGAGAGGGTCTACCACCATCCCAATTACCCCAGACAATCATCAGTACAGTGTTGTATCAAAACGCTGTCGCTATATTATCATTCACTAATCCTTTGTCTCATAAAGCATCATTTGATGTCAGCATGGAGACGGCTTGCGATCAGTTCTGCCTCTTCTTAAAACAAACTCGTAACATAGTCCTTGAGTCCGGGGTTTCACTGGACATACCAGTAATGTTCACCCCAGACTATATAGAGCAATGCAATGCTATGATACTAGTGACTACTGCTGGTACCACTGAACCATTATCATGGGTGTATCCTGTACTAGGACAGCCTGAAGTACAACCCTCACCATCACTCATACCAACACTCAACACTAAAGCTAAAGAAAGACTACAAGAGAGGCTAGTGGTATCATTGCATAATCATCAGGAGGACCTGTCAACTGTTCGTCTGAGGCCTGTTACTCCAGGGCAAGGTTCCCAGTCTCCGATTGAAGAGGAGTCATTGAGGGAGAAGTACTCGTATAGGCTGGTCCTGGTTGATACTGATGATAACGAGGAGATGGATCAGCTCTTTCAGGTCTCAACTGCACTCCGTTTAGTGAGGGAGATTATATCAGAAGATAAGATTGAGCTTGTTTTTGACATTGTATTCCTGCCACCAAAACCATTCAGGTTATTATATGTATACATGTAGCACAATAGTAATGGAATCAAAAATTATACAAACTGTACATGTGCATACATGTACATGTATATGGATGCCCTTATGTATATGTTCAGTATGTACAGTATAAAGTTGAGCTCATGCCAATCACTATTAACCTTAATTTACATTTAAGTTTAGACACTTATTATTTTTTATAGTTGTAAAGCTGATCTTCAGGTCCAACCTAATAGTTATGGTATATGGCATTACCCGGTCATACTAACAGCAACTGAGCCAGTGCCTGATGATATACTGACCCTCCAGGCACACCATTTAACTGGTGAAGTTAAGAAAGGCTTTAGATTGACCAGCCTTTCAGAGTAAGACAACAAAACTACATGCAATACTGTTTCTCTATGCAAACTCATTGCATACAAATTATTATAATTAATTTTCTTTGCTTTGTCATAATGTAGAGCACCTTTCCCTTTCAAAGCTTCTCTGACATCATCTTCACCAGAGTTATCAATACACCCTACCAGTGGAGTGTTGCCTCCTATTACTGAGAAAGGTTTGCTGTTTACTGTCATATACAAACCAAGGACTTTCAGCAAGGACTGTCATGGCAGAGTCATCATTGAAGTAAGAAGGATATCTAATACTGTATCAACACCACCATTATAATAGTCTTGTCTTATAAGTTTATATTTTTGATATGATGTACTGTACATGTAGGATATTGACCAGGGTGCTTGTGAGCATCTAAAACAGTTATGTGGTTTTACATAGACAAAAATAATGATGATGCATAAGCAATTAAGATTCCTGCAATATCATCTTTTTTTCTATTAAATTTTATAGACTCCTACAACATACTGGTTGTATGAGATTCATGGTCAGTCAGTCTCCTATTCATCTCCTACTGGTACTGCACAGGCTAAAGTGGATCATCAAAGTCCTATCATACCTCAACCATCTAACAAGAACTTTATCCGACGCAACATGCAACAGCTTCATGCAGTCTAGCAGAAAATTGTTTTTCTGTACAATTGGAATGTTGTTAGACATGTACATGTATCCATTCCCTTCTCTTAATTTTGTGAAATGTTATTTATTACCATTAAATCCAGCAAATAAATAACTTATTGTTCCGCCTCTCAAAGATTTTTTGTTCATTCATAAACACTATAATGTTAGTACAAATGGTGAAAGCATGCTGTAATTTTCATGTAAACAATGCATGTAGTCTATGCATGTACATTTTAAATCAGAAACTGAAAATAACTTTTTTGCCCGTGATCATTTCAGTTGACAAGATGACTGGAAGTCTTTTTTTGCTTTGTCTTGTTGTTCAAAGTGTGTCTTCTCTATACATCAGTATTGATGGAGATAAAGGAAATGATTCTATTGACTGCCTTCAAGGACAACACTCATGTCAGTCACTGATGTATGTATCCCACAGTACCATCACTAGTAACCTCACAATAGAGATCATCAGTTCTACTCTTGCTATAAAAGGAAGTGTTTCGTTTACTGGTATCAATGGATTGACTATCAATGGACAAAGTAGTAACATTAAATGTAGTGGGAATGAAAACAACCAAATTGGGTCCGGAATAGTTTTCAATAACTGCAACAATGTTAATCTCAATAATTTTGCTATTAAATACTGTGGATTAGTTTATCAACAAGATCAATATTATGGACTACAGGCTGTACTCTTTTATAATTGCAGCAACATCTTCCTGTCACTACTGAACTTTACCAACAGCAATGGAACTGGACTGGTGATATACCGTACTGTTAGGGATATGATTTTTGTAAGTCAATGTACGTTTTTAAACAACATTTTAAGTGATAGTTTATTTTATCCTGAAAGAGAAACACAACATCAGCTAGCATTTACTGGAGGAGGTTTTAGTATTCTTCAAGTACATGAAGTTTACATATTGATTTCAATTTGTCATTTTTCTAACAACTCTGCATCTGTTGGCGGAGGGTTTTACGCGACCTTCAGTGATCCCTTTAATACTCAAATTGCTTTAATAAGCTGTAGGTTCTTTAATAATACAGCAAGCACTAGAGGAGGTGCCATTGCTATTACTGTGCATAGAAATGATAACTTTTACGTCAATACTCAAGCATACACTGTTAACTTCTACTTTTGTGATATCATTGGTAATGCTGCACAGTTTGGTGGTGGAGTCTCTCTTCAAATTCCACACTTTCACAATGATGTAATTCTACAGCCAAATGCAATCAGATTTCATGAGTGCAAATTTATTGGCAATAAAGGTAAAGTGACTTCAGCTGTAGATATCAATGGTAGCAGCCAAAAACTGTATCAATCAATTTATACTTCTGTAGCATTTCAAAACAATAATCAATTCATAAACAATACAGCAGGAATTAATTTGCAAGGCCCTCATCCGCAATATAAAGGTAAACTATTCAAAGCAACAGTTTTTGCTATTGATGTTGCATTTGGAATGCATGATGAGCTATCTTTTTACAACAATACTGGAACTCCAATTTATTTATTGAATAGTCATTTACACTTCACTGGTAAATCTAAATCAAATTTTACTTCTGTTACACCAAATATTACTTTTGTTAATAACACTGGTGATCATGGAGGAGCTATTTTCATGAGTAATGGAGCAATAGATATATTGTTTGATACTGTATGGCATTTTTCAGGCAACACTGCTGTCATTGGTGGGGCAATTTTCATTCAATCATTGAACATAATGCAATATGAAGGAACATGCTTTTTACAGCATAATGTCAGTACACTGCACCTTTACTTTAGCAATAATAGTGCTACTAGTGGAATTGGTCATGATATATTTGCTTCCACCCTTCAACCATGCATTCAATTGTATAAGAGCAATACTACAGCACTTTTCAATGATGGTAGAATGGGGTCGTTTAATTTCTCTTCGTCTGTATCTCATTCAATTTCTACTGCTCCTGCTACACTGTTATTAAGTTTGAATAAAAGTCATTTGTTTCCCTTCCCTGGACTAACATACACTATGAATATAGCACAACTGGATGAGTTGAATCAGAGCATTACAAACTTACAATTATTTCCATTGAGTGCAACATGGCTTCACAATACTCCAATAAAGATGAATTTAACCCATTCAATTGGTCGTGATTATGTCATAATATTTAATGGTCAAGCAGGTGACAATGGTACTCTCCTCCTACAGACAACCGAGTACAGTGCTGCATTATACATTAATGTTACTTTATTTCAATGTCCTCCAGGATATATATTCCAAGCCGATGTTTGTCACTGTTCTCACAGCATTAGTGATCTCTACTATTATGGCATACCACATTGCTTGGAGAATAGAAGTGCAGTAATTTCCACTGGAACTTGGGCTGGATACTTAAAAGAATTTACAACAGCCGATTGTGCAGTAAGTCTTTGTGATTACAATGCTAGTAGATCTAACAGATATGAAGAGCATATTCTTCCATTGGACTACAATCTCTTAAATGATCAAGTGTGTGCCTCTCATAGGAATGGTGTATTGTGTGGTAGTTGTATCACTGGCTATACCACTTACCTTCACTCTCCTAGCTATCATTGTGGTCTGTCTACTCACTGCCAGTATGGACCATTGTTTTACATACTATCAGAGATCATACCAGTTACTGTTATATTCCTAGTGATCCTTTTATTTAATGTAAAATTGACATCAGGTGCTCT